AGAAAATAATATTTGTGATGTTATTACTACTTTGATGAATGATTAGAAGTAATGTTTAAGTGTTAGTAGGAGCCAATAGAAAAAAAATGTAAAAGTTAAAATAATTTTAATTAAGAATTTCTTCCACCCATAAGCGAATGAAGTTATATTCCTTTTATGAAAATTAAAGGATATACTTGTACTATATTTATGAAAATTAAACACCATCGAATTTATTTTTTTCATGAAGTTTATTTTCTTAAAAATTAACTTTCTTATTAGTTATTATCAAATACTCCAAATCAGTGGCGGAGCCAGAATTTTTAATTAGGGGGTTCAAAATCTGAAGAAATAGACACACGAAGTAGCTTAAGGGGTTCAACATCTACTATATATACATAAAAAAATATTTTAACCATGTAAAATAATATAATTTTTCGCCGAAGGGGGGTCGGGGACCCCCCTAAAGATAGGGTGGCTCCGCCACTGCTCCAAATAGAGAAAATTTATGCAAGTAAATCATATTGAGGGAGAGATAGAGTACCACAAAAATGTGCGTTACCTTCGTTATATTTCCAACTAACAATCGAACCAGTCTTTACGATTTCACCTTCATGAATCTCAAAATGGACGATATTTTTAGGACATATATTGGGTACCTGATGAGTACTAGTGTGAAAAATATCAAAAAACGAGCCCTCTCCACACTTCATCTCCATTGAAGCAATCAATTTACCTTTCAAACCCATATTTTCTACTTCTTAAGAATAGCGTTACGTTGTGAAAAAAAGTGATGAGAAAATATTTAGAACTTGTAATATTTATATTGATTTTAATTAAATGTGAAATGCTAGCTAGTAGAAACATTATCCACCACACATCTACGAGTTAATATCATTTTAATTACACCCTTAATGTATATCATTTTAGCTATTCACACCTTACCTATTTTTTAAAAATAATTTGTTACCTAACCTTTTACTTTTATAGCAAAATTACCTTTAAAAAGAAGTTACAAGGTATCATACATATTCCTTCAAAGTGTGATAGAATAAACAAATATTTTTATAAGAACAAATAATTGTCAACGGCGAAATTAGAAATTTTATTTAAAATGTTCAAAATTTAATATATATATATATATATATATAAACATAATTTTTAACTTATTTACATCATATAATTTTTTATAAATATAATATAATTTTCATTGTAGCACATGCCTAATGCAGAAAATAAATCATATCTATTTGTTTAATTTTCTTTTCCTAATACCTATTGGCACATGTCTATTGTGTGAGATATAAAATTATAAATGAAGGATGTCATATCTCAACCACAAAATAATATCATTTTAGACTTTGCAAAATATGAAATAAAATAACACACATCTTATAATAATGGAATATTAGAATTATGGTGCATGGTCGGTAAATGTTCATAACTTCTATGATGTTACTTCCATTACTTCTCATTATTATGATTGTAACTCAGTACATCTTTAATTATAACCTTCCTCATGATCTAAATGGTTACTTTCATGTTTACGACACCCTTTAGTATTCCTTAATATAAGTCCATAAATAAAGCTATTGCGAATCATACATGTATGTTATACATACTTGAATAAACTTCGAAACACTTGAAAGAAATAAAAAAGTTTCCTCTAACTAGTGAGATGGGAAAAACTAAATGAAATCTTATTTTTTGTAGTTTCTCATCCAGAATATAGAAATTCAAATTCAAGTCCGGATCGTGGATATTTTCACCCCAGTCCTGGCACTGAAATACTTGGATCTGGGGGGATTAATAGAATGGAATACGACATAAGTGACATGCAAATACCCATGGTCCGGACTCCTTATAAAACTTAAATAAACACTCTTTCTTTTAAGTTAATTTTTGCGATTATATTTGGCTCGAGATCCATTTCCTTCTGATGATGTATCCAAATATTTTATTTGTGTTTGAGTAAATGTTATACTAACGGATGTGTCTCATGAAAGTACTAAGCTCACAATTTATCTCCTCTTTATATTTGTGTTTTTTATTTAGTTATGACCAAAGCAAAAAGTGGTCAATTGAATTCAAAATCTAAGAAATGCAATAATGAAAACCATTCAAGTTCATCATTAAGAGATTTGGCTCTAGGGTTGAATATATTCTCCATTGGAATATAATTACTCTTATCATATGATTCTAAAAGTTATATATATGCCATCATCACATGTCATTTGAGATAGCTTAATTTTCAACACCACATACGCTCCCATATAGATTAAAATAAAATAAAGTGATATGTAATAAAGATCTAGATATAAATATTAATTAATACATAGAACTTGAATGACATAATACATAAATATGTCTTTTAATTTAGCTTCAGCTGACATATATGGCCTCTAACTTTAGATGTGCAAAAGTAGATACTTAAACTTGTATAAAATTGAATAAGTAGAGACACATGTCCTACGTGGCATAATACACGTACATAAAATGCCATATAAGACAAATATGTATGTTTAACTTATTCAAATTTAAATGTCTACTTCCAATGTCGTATGATAGAATAAACCAATATTATTATAAGAACAAATAATTGTCAGCGACGTAATTAGAAGTTTAATTAAAAATATTCAAAATTTAAATGTATATAAACATAATTTTTAACTTATTTACATAATATATTTTTTTATAAATTTTATTGAAGTGTGTTTTATAACCACCTTCACTCGATATAGCTACGTCACTGCAAACGGTTTATAAAGCACATGCCTATTGCAGAAAATAAATCATATCTATATGTTTAATTTTCTTTTCCTAATACCTATTGGCACAATATGCCTATTGTGTGAGATATAAAGTTATAAATGAAAGGATGTCATATCTCAACCATAAAATAAGACTTCCTCTGTCCATGACTTACTTTCCTTTTTAGTTAGTCCAAAAAAGAATGACACATTTTTATATTAAATAACAATTTAACTATAAAATATATATTTTACCCTTAATGAAATGATTTACAGCCACACAAATTTCTATCATTTATTTTGGACCACAAATTTTAAAAGTCTTCATCATTTCTTTCTTAAACTTCGTGGCGAGTCAAACTACCTCACATAAAATGGGACGAAGAGAGTATCTTTTTAGACTTTGCAAAATATGAAATAAAATATCAAATAACATACATCTTATAATGGAATATTAGAATTATGGTAGTCGGTAAATGTCCATAACTTTCTAAGATGTTACTTTCATTACTTCTCATCATTATGATTGTAACTCAGTACATCTTTATAACATTCCTCAGGATTTTAATAGTTAGTTTCATGTTTACAATATCCTTTAATATTCCTTAATGTAAGTCCATAAATAAATCTATTGTGAATCATACATGTATGTAATACATACTTGAATAAACTTCGAAATACTTGAATTTGCATGCTCCAGGTCGATCTGACAGTGAAATATCGGGTTAATACCTCAGATGGTCACTCAACTATCCACTTTTGCCTCAGAAAGTCACTCAACATTTAATTTTCACTAAAAAGTCACCATGTGAGTGACTTTCTGAGGAAAGACTGGATAGTTGAGTGACCATCTGAGGTATTAACCCGTGAAATATCCGGATCTGAGGAATTAATGGAATAAAATATACTATGTTGGTGACGGACAAGAACCCCGAACTCCTTATAAAACTTAAGTAAACACTTTTCCCTTTATGTTAATTTTTGCAATTATTTTAGGCTCGAGATCCATTTCCTTATGATATTTATCCAAATATTTTATTTGTGTTGTGCAAATGTTATACTAACGGATGTGTCTCATGAAAGTACTCAAGTTCATAAATTTCTCTTTTCTTTATATTTGTGTTTTTATTTAGATATGACCAAAGCAAAAAGTGGTCAATTGAATTCAAAATCTAAGAGTGCAATAATGAAATATATTCTCCATCGGAATTTAATTAATTACTCTTATCATATGATTCTAAAAGTTATATGTATTATTCTATCATCACATGTCATTTGAGATAACTTAATTTTTCAACACCACATACGCTCCATATAGATATATAAAATAAAATGATATGTAAACAAGATATAAATATAAATATTAATACATAGAACTTGAATGACATGTTACAATGTCTTTTAATTTGGCTTCAGCTGACATCTATGACCTCCAACTTTTAATGTACATAAATAGGTACTTAAACTTACATAAAATTGAACAAGTAGACACACATGTTCTATGTGACATAATACACGTAGGACATCGCGTAGGATAAATGTGTCTGCTTGTTTAATTTTATACAAGTTTAAATGTCTACTTGCGCACACCTAAAGTTAGAAGACATAGATGTCAGTTGAGACTAAGTTAAATAACACATTTATGTATTATGCCGAACTTGAATTCATTTTTCCAACTTAGAAACTTTTACCTAGGGTTCCATATGTTCCTTTTACATGCAACTATAGATTCCCTCCCTAGAAAGCTTGTTGTGTACATGTACATTTTCCCCCTTTCTTTTCTTGAAAATATTGGAGTAGTATATCCTTTTGACTTGTTAGAACTTGGAAGATAGTATATGAAAGTTTATGGGTTGATTTTACGGATCGTCACTCAATTTTTATTTTGTTTCACTAAAATTATTGAATTATATCTTATAATATAAAAGTCACCCGATTTACTTAAGTATCACATAAAATCATTGAATAATTTTTTTTATAACCAAAGGTGGCTCAATTTGACCTAAAGATCATAAATATAATATTATTAATAAATCAATGAAGTAATTTAATTTAAACTTCAAACTAGAGGGAGTATATATTTTCTAATTTTGGAATTCATTATGCATAGAATTCCAATAGTATAAACTAGTGAATCCAAGGAGAAAGGTATCCAAGTAGTGTAGCACTATTTCCCCCTTTTTGTCCCCTAAGCCATTTCTATATAAATCAATCATTCATCCAAAAGGTTCTTTTGTAACATAGCAATCTATTTATTATAAGTTGTGAAAAATGAAGAAGATTAAAGGAAATAATTGTGATGGAGCCAAACCAAAAGAAAGACATATTGTGTCTTGGTCACAAGAGGTACTAATTGTTATTATGGTTATTTGACACTAATTAATTTGGAATTAAGACATGATTGATTGGTTGGTTATTGTTTTATATTTGTTTTGGTCCTTTTTGAGTTGTGTTGTTGCATCGCATATTTGGTCACCTGATGCTATAGAGGTCGGTCCCACTCTAGTATCCATTTTGATTCATGCAGCTACGTCAATGATAACAACTTGTATTGATGTTTGTTTTGAGTTGCAGGAGGACGATATACTACGAGAGCAAATTCGTATTCATGGAATTGATGACAAGTAATGTCACTTATCCTTTTGATTCTTTTTTTTTTTAGTTGATTTCTCAAATGATCACTCGACTAGTTATTATAGAAAGTCATTTTCTTTGTTAAGGAAAAATTGAAATCAAGAAGAAATATGACTTTTCAAGATAATAACTATTAGTTGAATTACCAGCTAAGAAATCAACCTTTGAAAATATTCAATAATCTTTAAAAGGGCCATATTTTTGGTATCTAATAAGACCAAAAAGTTTGTCCATATGGCTATGAAAGGCGTCCTGATGACAGAGTCAGAATTTTCATTAGGAGGGTTGAGGGTTTAGAATATGAAGAAGTAAACGTACGAATAAGTCGAATGGGGTTCAACATCGAACATATATACTGTAAAAAATAATTGTCCTTGAGCCCTTACTATCTCCGCCATTTGAAGCTAAATGGTTTTTTTTTCCTTCATGATGTATGATATAGTTGGACTGTCATAGCATCAAACTTCAAGGATAAAACAACTAGACAATGCAAAAGAAGGTTTGTTCCAAAATGTTCTCTGTATTTGACATTTCCCCCTTTTTCATTTACTGTATTTTTTGTCTTTTGGTTAACTAATGTGATTGTGTTTTTACAAAAAATCTGCAGATGGTTCACTTATTTGAACTCTGATTTCAAAAAAGGTGGATGGTCACCCGAAGAAGATATGCTTTTATGCGCGGTAAAATGATGTTATGTTGATTGCAACATTGTACTTAAGTCGCGTTTTTATTTGGGAGATTTGGTTTTGTAATCTTTTACAAACTTGTTCGACTGATGTGAATAAGGCCTTATTTGTTTCCATTAAGATTAAGACGTCTGAATCTTAATAAGTATCTGATAATGAATTGTGATTACAATGTACATATCTGATAGAAAAAGATTGCTTGCGCGTTTGCAGGCTCAAAAGATTTTTGGAAACAGATGGACTGAAATTGCCAAAGTGGTATCAGGCAGGTAAACAGCATTGTATTTTGGTACTAATTGCTAGAAATTTCAGTTTTCAGTTAGGAATGTTTCGTGTTCTGAACTTTTTTTTCGCGTTAATACAGAACGGATAATGCTGTGAAGAACAGGTTCACTACAATCTGCAAAAAGAAAGCAAAACATGAAGCAATGGCTGAAGAAAACAGGGTTACGTTTTCAAATAAGCTCGATACTGACAGAATATGTGATGTTTCCGTTCCTATTAAGAAGCTGAGGTAAAATGAATGCTACATTGTTAAATTATGTCTCAGAGAGACTAAAGTTATGTATTATATAACATACAATCGTCGTGATGCAGGAGGAGCCATACTATAGAAAGCTCGGTTGATGATTGTCCGAATAATAATCAACCGCTTAGACATCCATTTGCAGTGCTTGCTCAGAATGTCAATAACTTGAAAGACACATATGAAAATGGTAACAATCTTTGACAGTAAACTTTGTAAAGGGACAGTCGAATATTAGATGAGAGAACATATCATTGATTATTTCTATTGAGCAAAATGATTATGTAACGAACTTTTTTATGGATTTTCAAGGAACGTTCCTTAAGAAGAATGATCGAAAGATAAATGTGTTGATGCAACAAGAAGAATTACTGAACTCACTGGCACTCAAAGTTGATTCGAAAAACACTAACCAGAGTCTTGAAAATGCTTGGAAGGTAAGGTTAATTAGTTGTAATTTTTGTTCTTCATTTTTTCTGTATCTAAGAAGTTATATTTTTCTAGGTAAGCTATTTTTTACATTAGTGGTTGCAGAAGTTGTAATCTCGTTGAGGAAGCAACAAGCTGTAAAAGGCGCGCTTAAGCCTTGAAGCGAGGCTCAAAACACATTGAGCTCTTCACTTCGCTTAATGTGTGCTTTAGTGTCATCATCACGGCTTTAAGACAAACTTTTCTTTGTGAATGAGCATGTCCTGAGGAGGCGACACTAAACAATTGAAATTTTACTTTATCCTAAAATAATTTTGTTTCTTTATCCATATGTTTGTTATTCATGCTTATAATTATTAGTCTTGGCCACTAAACAGATATATTTGTATGTTTTTCTCCATTGCACCTTTTCTTGTTAAAGCTCACACTTTATTTGTGCTTAAAGCCTCGACGGACCTTAAAGCCTTTTCATGCTTTTTGGTATAGATAACACTGCCTCTTATGGGATGATCTGAATATTTTGCAGGTAGTCGATGATTTTCTTAATCGGATGAAGGAAGGTGATATGCTCAAGTTCCGGCATACAGAGATGAATTCTGGACACAATACTCATAAGAATCTGATAACAAACTCAAGTAGTAACGAAAGGAACCGACCATCTAAAAGGTATTGATTACTGACTAACACAAGCTCATTTTTCCTAGTGCAGACTAGTCTAAAATCTAGATGTACATACAGGCAACTTGCTTTATCTCAAGAGTCTGGTGGCAGTTCAGAGTACAATACCGGATCAACTCTGATGTTGCATGCATTGAGTAATAAAACAGAAGAAAGTCAAGTTAAGACGTGTGCGCATGATCAGGAGATTCAATCTGGTTTGCAAAAGTCTCAAATAGGTGATCAAACTGGAGTTCAAGAGTTGGAAAATGGAATTTTCTGTGATCTTTCATTCCCTCATGGTACGACGAAGAATTTCATATTACATAGTGACTATTCTAGATAGCTATGCTGAAATCTGAAATGTTTTATTCTTATAAAAATGATGATTTTGATTACGTCAGATACTCTGCCTGTTTGTGATGAAATGAAGGACAATGATGTATCAGCAACAGCTGAATGTGAATATCCTTCTCCTCTTCAAGTAACTCCGCAATTCAGATCATTAGCTGAAGCAATTCCCAGCCCAAAGTTTTCCGAAAGTGTAAGCAATCATTGCTTTATGTAATGCTTCGGAACTAAATCCAACAACAAACTGTTATAAGTTGCTTATTTGAGACATTGTTAGAAACTAACTAGCATTTTTCAGGAGAGACAATTCCTATTGAAGACACTTGGAGTTGAGTCTACATCTCCTCATCGAACCACGAAACCTCCATCTTGCAAAAGGGCACTCCTCCAAAGCCTATGATCAGTTTGCATCCTTTCTGATGACACATACAAAAATGCAGGGCACGAGCGCGCACACACACACAGACATAGACGTGTACCTAGTATGTTTTCTTAATGTGTCTCATTTCTTGTGTGTGTCATCATGGAACTCGAATGGAGGTATTCGATGTATCCATAAGTTTTTGGCATTTGATAAGCTTATTGTAGATAACATAATAGTGTAGTAGTTACAAATTGGAACTCACCAAAGTTTACAGAGTATGTAAAAGAAGATAGTTATTTGTAGAGCTTCTTCCAAGGCTTTCTGGTGGCTAAGTTGCTCGGACTCTTTAAAAATGTTGTCGTACCCTTGTCAGATTCTTTAAAAGCTATGCATGTTTGAAGGATCTACACACACTCAAAAAGAATTTTTGAAGAGTCCGACCAACATAATCTGGTATAGTTGGTGGTAGTGTTAGTCAAGTGTGATCATTATTAAAAAGCAAAAGGTAGAGGCAGAAGGATGGATGGAATTCTATATGAATTAAAGCTTAGTATTTAAATTTAAAGCATTCAATGTATTATTATGTACTACTTATGTATATCATGCCTAGAATCTTTGCAATTATTTTCAATGGATTAAAATTTGTGATGTAGTTTCAATTTTGTTGTTCCTGTATATTGAATATCTTGAAATTACAAGGCACAATAATTGGACGTTTGACCATATTTCATTGTGAAATTTGAAAAAAAAAATACTATTATTTTTATTTTCACAGTGAAAATGATATTGAAAAATTGGAGTTACATTTTGTTTGACCAATATTAATACTAATTGATGTTGTTTTTAACTTTTTGTGAGTAATTTGGAGTGAAAAAAAATGAAAACACCTTTTTGTTGTTTTTCAAATTCTGTCAAAACATGTTTTTTGGAGTTCAACTCTAGAAAAAAGTGGGGAAAAAATTCATGGTCAAATGTCCTTTCGATGCTAAATCCTTGCTTGATAGTATGTTGGATAAATATCAATATATAAGCAATTGGCCCATTAGCTCAGTTGGTTAGAGCGTCGTGCTAATAACGCGAAGGTCGCAGGTTCGAGACCTGCATGGGCCACTTCTTTTTAGAATTTTCAAACCTCTTTGGAAAATCGTTTATTCTTGCAAATTATGAGATTCTAAAATTCCGTCTATCGTAGAGTCTCTTAATAAAAGACAAAAAGCAAAAGGCGATTTTCGTGTGTATATAATAAGTAGAGACAAGATTTTCAGGTGCTCCTCAATTTATTTATTTTCAGTAATTCTAGGAGACTATAAATACATAAAAATAAAAAAATACATAGCATTATAACAACAATAGTAACATTAACAACATAATACAATAACTTAATTAATATATAGTGGAACTATAAAGTTTACTATTTTGAAGCATGCTCCTTTGCTATTTGCTCAAAAAGACTTCCATCATAGACAGCTTTTACAGTTTCTTTTGTCAATATTTCATTCTTATTTTTGCCTAAATCATATAAAGAATTCCAATCTACAAAAGCATTTGCCCTACACATATGAAAAAAAATTGGGTTAAAATTAAATTAAAATAAGGAGAACAATCTAACCAAAAAGGAAATAAAGATAATTGCACTTTGTATAGAGGTTTAATGCTCGAAAATATTGTTTTAGATCATATATTTCAAAAGTTTATCTTTTATTTTTAATATCTTAAATTATGTATCTGGTCAGATCACGAAAATTGAGACGGAGAGAATAACAACTAATAAAAACAAAGAAAGAGAGGATACCATCCATAGTAGTCCTTTGGTTTTCTATTGGTCTTGAGCAATTCTTTCACTTCATTGTAGGTTAAAGAATCTGCATTTTGATGTGCATGCTTCTTAAAGATCTCCTCAAACTTCTCTGGCACAAACCTTGAACAATAGTAAGTCAAATCAATATAGGCAGTGGCAGAGTCAGAATTTTCAATAAGACGGGTTTAAAATATGAACAAGTAAACACACAAAAAGCCGAAGAAGGTTCAACTATATATATATATATATAACCAATGTAATTTTTCGTTGAAAGAAGCTCGAATGAAACCTCTGAACCCTTACTAGCTCCGCTCCTAACTGGACCAAATGTAACTATACATAGTCACTTTGGTCCACATGAGCGGATCCAACATGTTATGTGTGAATTCACAAAAAACTCATTAATTTTTGCTCAATTTATATATATATATATATATATATATATATATAAATATTGGTTAAATATCTATACAAAGCCAGAATTTAATTATTTATTAGGTAGGTATGAATTTACCTCCCTTCAGAGTCATAGGCACCAGAATCACTACCATGTATGGCATATTTAATATTTTCTACCACAATGGGGAAGAATAAAGATGGGCATTTTCCCTGTGACACACACAAAAAAAAAACATATAGTATCACATAAAATTAGAATAAATTCTATTGTTGAGAACATATTAGTATAAATAATATCCAAAGATGACTTATTTGTGATACACTTTCAATGACCTAAGTTTACTTTGAAAAATATCCAAGTCTAAATTACTTTAGGAAACTTCATAAAAAGGAAGTACTCTGTCTGTTTCATTTTACTTGACTTTATATTAAAAACAGATTATTATTTTTTACAGGTTTGTTTTAGCAAATCAAGATAAATTTGGCCTTTTATCAAATATGCATGGTCCCTAATCTAATTTCTAAGTCAATAGAGAATTCTACTTGACAAATTATACCAACTTAAAAAAAAAAATTACCAAAATTTTATTATGGAACCATAGATAAAGAAAAAGATACAACATATACTTAGTGAAATCCCACAAGGTGGGGTCTAGGGAGGTAGAGTGTACATAAATCTTATCACTATCTCACAGAGATAGAGAAGTTGTTTCAGAAATACCCTCGATATATATATATAAACGACTTAATTATAAGGAAATTACCGGTCGAGTCTTGTGACTGAAATTAAAATGAATGAGAACAGCAGCAAACATAGAACGGAAAATACCACGTCCCATCTTTCTAAAAGCTGAAAAAATAATTATAAATCAGAAAATATTTAGGTCAAGTCAAGAAAATATATATTAGTGTATAAAATAATAGGAAAAAAAAGAACTCTATGTTTATTAAATTTCACTAATAGAAACAAATATTTTCTCCACCACAAATCAATGAAAAATTTATGTTATAGAATATGATTTTTTCATTCATTTTCCACCGAACCAGCACACTCGAAAAATGCATGGTTGGAAACAGAAACCATATTCTCACAAAAATAGTGGAAAATTTTCTAATTTTTCCATATGAAACAATTATACTTTTTTTTTTCTTTTCATACTGATTCAATTAAAAATCTATAGTTTCTGAACATTTTCCAATAAAAATTTCAGGAAAAAATAATGATTTTTTTAATAGCGACTAGGAAAGAAAAGAATCAAAAACCTTGGTACGTTTCTGAAGGGTAAATTATTCCATCATTATTGATATCGAAGAACATGACATGCTTTTCCAAAGGCGTGAGCTCATGATTATTTGCAATTATTCCTGCATGGATTGAATGTACGCAGATTTTATATAGAATAGGATAAATAAATTTAAAATCTATTTTTACTATCTAATAAATGTGAATAAGCAAACAACGCTCCATCATATTAAAAAACTATATGATCATAAAAAAAAAAAAAAAAACTTATACGTACCGTCAGCTTGACTGCAACTGGTTGAGCTAGCCATGGAAACTATATAATAACATATCCAACGAAAATATAAGAGGACTGTGCAATCAATAGAAAATAAAGGGAGAATTCAAGCTTTTGTGGGGGAACTTGATGTATAATTAATTAACACGTAACATGTATTTTAAAATATTTTAAAGGCATAATACATAAATGTACTTTTTAACTTAGTTTCATTTGATATCCATGTTCTCTAATTTTGGGTGTGCATTATTAGTAGACACTTAGATATAAAATTGAATAAGTAGACATATACGTTTTACGTAACGTAATACACATAGGATGAGAATTGTCATGTAGAATGCTACATAGCACACGTGTCTGTTTGCTAAACTTTATACAAGGTTAAATGTTTATTTGTGCATTGAAGGACATGAATATCAACTGAAGCCAGATTAAAAGGTACGTTTAAGTATTACGCCTATTTTAAACATTTGAACAAGACCTAAAATATTGAAAAAGTGGATAAAATATTGTAACTTTAATAAAGATGTGTATGTGTCTATGTGAGAAGAGAGGGAGAGGGAGAGGGAGAGAGAGATGAAGCACACCTTAAAAAAGGAGTCCCCAAAATGAGTTGATTTAATCTCAAATAAGTATTGGCTATTTATAGCCAATTTCTGTTCTTGTTAACCAACTTCTAATTTAATGCAACTCCGTGTACGCAATATGTGAAGACTGTATTGACGTCATGCACGGGAGGTTGTTCTTTCTTTAATCAGAGATTTCAGGTTCAAATCTTTTTGAAGAAGAATATTTTTACTCGAATAGGGCATTATGAATTTAAAATAGTCGAGCTCTCAAATAAAACATTAAAGCAAAGTAATTTTATTGATACAAAATAAAATAATTTTTTTTTACTAAATAAACGTTTAATAACAGATTAATATATATTAACTCTAACTTGGAACGTAGAAAGTACTAACAAACTACAATAATCAATAATGAGGCACAAAAGAATAAAAATAAAATTATCCAGCTATTACGCTGACAGAACATTAGTTATTGTTAGTGAAAAACTTACAAGATAATAAAAGTACAAGATTACAATTGAAAATAAATATGAAAAAAATAAATTTCTTCTGAGGCGCGGATATCTTGCTCTCTTTAAGGAGATTCAAGCCCACTGCAGCAAATCTTTTCACCGGTCCAGCAGTAGTCCTCTTGACTTGTCCCCTCCAGGATATAACAACCTTCACAAAGTATAACTCAACAACTCTGGACAAGAGTTGAGTCCAAAGCTCCACAAAAGAAACACCTCCCTTCCACTAATAAGAACTCTTTTTTTTACTAACTCT